TCGGTGTTCGAAGGGAAATCGAGGTGAAACTCGAGGAAAGAGGGGGCCTCGTTCCTTATTTTTGGTTCCTTAGGTCAACGCCCCGACTGCACACACTCGAGGGGGCGAAGCGACAGCTTTCGCGGCCCTCTTGGGCGGTCTCTCCGAGGCTCCGCTGGGCGGACGTGGCGGTGGTTGCCCGCCCCCTCCCCCGCGGGCTCTTGCGGCGGGGTCGGCGCGCCGGGCCGACGAGCCGCCCCCAAGAAGGGGGAGTTCTCTCTTGGGAGAGCTCGGCATCGCTCGGACGTGTGCACTTCTCCTTCGGCGAGGACCATCGAGGAGCATCCTTGATCATTTGGCGACAAAAAAAAACACCACGCACGAGATCGAAAAAAGCACAGGGAATGGACGTCCGAGCGATGGCGAGAGAGAGCAGAGAGCAAGACCGGCAGGACCTCGCACGCCAGGCACCCCCGTGGTGAGTCCACAGGGGGCGGCGGATCGAAGACGCCTACAGTCGAGGCGTTGACCTAAGGAACCCTAAATAAGGAACGAGGCCCCTTGTTCCCATAAGTTCAACCTCGATTTCCCATGGAAAACCTCAGAAAAACCCGAGGCAAACTTTGAAACAATCAAGGAACACCGAGCCCCTCCCCAACGAAAAGGGTTCCTTCTTCAGCGCCCCGACTGTACGGCGAATCACCGCCGCCCCCTGCCTTTTTTGGAAGCGCCCATGTGGCCGAACGTGGAGGCCAGACCTGCCAAGCCATCGGACCATGTGTTCCCCGAGCAGCACCAAGGTGGAGTCCTTCTGGAAAAAGAGCCCAAACCAAAAGCCATATGATTCGGCACGCCAGGCACCCCTGTTGCAAGCAACAGGGGGCGGCGGATCTACTGCAGTGGCCTTCGGCCCATCCCACCACCGTGCCCGGATTGTGGGTCAGAGGCCTCTCGGACGTTCGCTTGCATATCGTGGGAGGCCTCTCGGGGGCCTCCTGGAGGCAGTTCTGAAGCCTCTCGGGGGCCGTTGAAGTGCCTCTTTTCGGACCTCTTGGGGGCCTCGTGGGGCCTCCAGGGGGCCTCTTCGGCTCTCTTGGGGGCCTCTTGGGGCCTCCTGGGGGCCTCTTCGGCTCGCCTCTTCGGCTCTCTTGGGGGCCTCTTGGGGCCTCCTGGGGGCCTCTTGGGGCGGAAGGCTCGAATTGTGGCTTCGTGTCCCCCCTTTTGGGCCCCTCGTCGGGCCGTCTTGGAGCTCAGAGAGAGCGATACAGAGAGAGAGAGAGAGAAAGAGAGAGAGAGAGAGAGAACGCTAGAGAGAGAGAGAGAGAGGGATAGAGCGATATACACACATGTATACATTTAAGTCGACAGAATATGATGGCATGATGAGGGCGAGGATTCTGATTATGTTTATGAGTGTGTTGCTGTTGTGGATGGACATGATCATGCTGTTGGTTTCAGCGATGAGGGTGTTGCCGATGTTGGCAACTTTGGTGCATGTGGTGATGATGCGGTTGATGGAGAAATCGACGATGTTGATTTACCTGATGATTCAAACACTGATGCTGACCATGCTGATTATGCTGCTGATGATGACGATGATGATGCTGCTGCTGATAATGGTGTTGATGCTGATGCTGCTAATGATGCTGAAGGTGAGATGATGCTAATAGTAATGATCATGCTGATGATGCTGCTGATGACGATAAGGATGATGCTGCTGCTGATGATGATACCGATGACGATGTCCACGATGGTGACGGTGATGCTGATGATGCTGCTGATTACGACGATGCTGTTGATGATGTTGATCTTGATGATGATTATGATTCCGATGATGATTCTGAGAAGGATGAGGTTGGGGATGACGATGACTATGGTACTGATGATGATGATGATGATGATGATGATGATGATGACGATGCTGATGACGATGCGAATGGTGATGATAATGCCGATGCTGTTGATGTTGATGTTGATGGTGGTGATGCTGGCGATTATGATGGTGATGCTGATTATGATAATGATTATGCTGATCATGATGATGCCGATCGCGGCGGCGACGACGATGTTGATTATGCTGATGCTGATGGCGGTGACGACACTGATGATGAAGCTGCCGCGGACGATGGCGATGTTGCTGACGACTGGGATGATTATGTGGACACCCATGATAATCATGCAGACCATGATGACGGTGCTAATACGGATAATGATGCGGGTGATGGTGTTGGTGGTGGTGCTGATCATCTCGAGCATGCCAATCGTAATGATGACGATGTTGCTGCAGCTGATGGTGATGAAGATGATGTGGCTTGGAGCCCTTTCTTGGACGGGTGAGCCCCGCGTAAAATCCAAGCCCACTGTCCCTCCCTCGCATCGCAACCGAGCACGAAGGTAGTCCTACGCAAGAGAGCTCGTTCCCCAGCGTTCCCTGATCTGTCTCGTAGCTCCACAGAGAGGTGCATTTGTCTGGGGGGCCAGCTGGGGCTCCCGAGGCGCCGGCAACACCAGCTCCGATAATCGCATGGCCACGAGCTGGCCACACACACACAGAGGCCATGCCTTTCTGGGACAGCTGGGGAGGAGGAGGAGGAGGAGGACGAGGAGGAGGAGGACCAGTGTAAACTTAAGAGTCACCAGCGATGTTGGAATCCATCCTCCTTGCAAGCTCCCTCTTTGTATGCCCTTACAACGGTTCATTTTCACTGAGGGAACCGCCTCGTTTGAAGACAAGACCCTTAAGCATGTCAAAACATTGTTCTCGGGATTCCAACGCCACGGATCAACCTGACTGTTGCGTCATGACGATCCTGAACCGTGCCAGAACGCCATTCCTGGGACTTCCACGCCGCGAACCAACGTAATTGTTGCACCCTCGTAATCCGAAATCATTCGAAACACTGTTCTTGGTTCGCTGACCATGAGGACCCATGAAACTCTTGCAAATGTTGCAAACGAATGTGCGCGGCGCTCAGGCGGGAGCCAAATTTTGAAAACCACCCGCCCTCAATCCGCGAAGCTCCTTTCCAATGCTTAAAACAAATGTGCGCGGCGCTCAGGCGAAAGCCACATTTTGAAAACGACCCGCCGTTAATCCGCGAAACTCTTGCAACTGTTCAAAACGAATGTGCGCGGCGCTCAGGCGAAAGCCAAATTTTGAAAACGACCCGCCCTTAATCCTTGAAACTCTTGCAACAGTTTAAAACGAATGTACGCGGCGCTGGGGTGAGAGCAACATGTTGAAAACGAGCTGCCCTCAATACGTGACGCCGTTGTTATTTTTAAGCTTCAGTGCTATACACGGTGAGGAAGTCTCAGACGAAACGCCAGGCCCGCCCAAAAAACTTGCCTCGGGGTGCGACAGGGCAACATGTTTATGAGGAAAAGAAATGGAGAAGGAGGGGGAGGCGGAGGAGGAGGAGGAGGATGGGGAGGAGGAGGAGGAGTTGAAGTTGGCGGAGGAGGAGGAGGCGGAGGAAAAGGAACAAGGGGCGGAGGAGGAGGCGGAGGAGAAGGAGGAGGAGGAGAAGAAGGAGGAGGAGGAGAACGAGGAGGAGGAGGAGGACCAGTGTACGTAAACCCAAGAGTCATCAACGAGTCTGGAATAAACCCTCCTTCCAACTCCCTCTCCATAGGCCCCATACAACGGTTCATTTCCATTGAGGGAACTGCCTCGTTGGAAGACAACCGTGTGATGACCCTGCATCATGCCAAAAAACTGTTCTCGGGATTCCAACCCCACGGATCAACCTGACTGTTGCGTCATGCCGATCCTGAACCGTGCCAGAACTCCATTCCTTGGGCTTCAACACAGCGAATCGACATAACTGTTGCGCCCTCATTGAATCCTTTCAGAACGCCGTTTCTGGTACGTTGATGATGGGAGTCCGTGACACTCTTGCAACTGTTGCAAACGAATGTGCGCGGCGCTCAGGCGAGAGCCGCATGTTGAAAACCAACCGCCCTCAATCCGCGAAAACTCTTGCAGACGTTCAAAACCAATCTGCGCGGCGTTGAGGCGAGAGCCACATTTTCAAAACGACCTGCCCTCAATCTGTGAAATTCTTGCAAATGTTCAGGACGAATGTGCGCGGCGCTCAGGCGAGAGCCACATGTTGAAAACCACCCGCCCTCAATCCGCGAATCTCCCTTCCAATGCTTAAAACAAAGGTGCGCCGCGCTAAGGCGAGAACCACATTTTGAACATGACCCGCCCTCAATCCGTGAAACTCTGGCACATGATCAGAACGAATGTGCGCCGCGCTAAGGTGAGAGGCACATGTTGTAAACCATCCGCCCATCAATCCGAGAAGCTCCTTTCAAGTGTTTAAAATGAATGTGCGCGGCGCTCAGGCGAGAGCCACATGTTGAAACTGAGCCACCCTCAATCTGTGACATTCTTGCACATGTTCAAAACGAATGTGCGCCGCGCTAAGGTGGGAGCCACATTCCGAAAATGGCCCGCCCTCAATCCTTGAAGCTCCTTTCAAGTGTTTGAAATGAATGTGCTCCGCGCTAAGGCAGAGCCACATTTTGAACATGACCCGCCCTCAATTTGTGAAATTCTTGCACATGTTCAAAACGAATGTGCGCCGCGCTAAGGTGAGAGCCACATTCCGAAAACAACCCGCCCTGCTTCATAATCATAAATGGGGAGGAAGTCTCAGGCGAAACGCCCGGCACACCCTAAAAGCTGGCTTCGGGGTGCGACAGCGAGAAGTTCTTTATAAGGAAAAGGAATGGGGAAGGAAAATGAGAAGGAGAAGGAAGAGGAAGCGGCGGAGGAGGAGGAGGAGGAGGAGGAGGAGGAGGAGGAGGAGGAGGAGGAGGAGGAGATCTCGGTTTTCAGACCACGACTCCGGCATAGTTTCGGTTGTCCAGGACTATTCTGGCACCCCTGGAACGCTCTCGGCGAGGCGCAGCTGGTGGGAAGTGTCCCGACGCTAGAAAAATCCAGGAAACGACCAGAACTTTCGACAACTGGCGAAACTTCTGGTCGAGCCCAGCGGGTCACCCGCCAGGTGAAGTTGTCGCTGGTCAGCGCCTCGGAGGAGCGCACCGCGAGCTTCCACGTGCTCGCCGTGCCCATGACGGGCTTCCCCAACTCCGCATGGCACAAGGCTGCTGGATGGGTCCGTCCTCGGCCGCCTGGCGGACTCAGCTGCAGGGGGTAGGAGGCATTGGATGGAATTCGCTGATATCCGCTCAGTGCCCTGGGGGGGCGGTGGATGAGAAGGGGGAGGCCGAGGCGAAAGAGGAGGAGGAGGAGGAGGAGGAGGAGGAGGAGGAAGAGGAGGAGGAGGAAGTGGAGGAGTAGGAGGAGGAGGAGGAGGGAGGAGGAGGAGGAGGAGGAGGAGGAGGAGGAGGAGGAGGAGGAGGGGAGGAGGAGGAGAAGGTTGGAGGAGGAAGGAGGAGAGGAGGAGGAGGAGGAGGAGGGAGGAGAAGGAGGTGGAGGAGGAGGCGGAGGAGGTGGAGGAGGAGAGGAGGAGGAGGGGGGAGGAGGAGGGTGGGAGGGGAGAAGGAGGAGGGGGAGGAGGAGGAGGAGTAGCAGGAGGCGGAGGAGAAGGAGAAGGAGAAGGAGGAGGCGGAGGAGAAGGAGGAGGAGGAGAAGGAGGAGGATGGGGAGGAGAGGGAGGCGGAGGATAATGAGGATGAGGAGAAGGAGGAGGAGAAGGAGGAGGAGGATGAGGAGCAGGAGGAGAATCATGAGGATCAGCAGGAGGATCAGCAGGAGGCGGAGTTGAGGCAGGGGGAGGCAACATCTGTTCAGAAACCGGTCCCCGACCCCTCCCAGGGTCCAATCCGGACCCGATCTCCGATAGCGGCGTCCAGTCGCGGGGATGCGGGGCACACTCGAAGGCCCAGGAGGAGGAGGAGGAGGAGGAGGAGGAGGAGGAGGAGGAGGGGAGGAGGGAGGAGGAGGAGGAGGAGGAGGAGGAGGAGGAGCAGGAGGCTTCAGCCCTGCCGCGAGGTCTCGGTCGCGAAGTTCGGCGACGCTCAGGAGTTCCTCCTTTTCCCGCCCCACCCCTGCCTCTGCTTCCCCATCCTCCTCCATCCTCCTTGTCCATCCTCCCTCCTCATCCCTCCTCCTCCTCCTCCGCCTCTTCCTCCTCCACCTCGGCTCCATCTCCTCATCCTCCATTCCCCATTCTCTCCATCCTCTATCCTCTATCCTCTATCCTTCCATCATCCCTCCTCCTCCTCCTCCCTCCTCCTCCTCCTCCTCCTCCCCTCCTCCTCTACGCCGAGGAGATCATCCGGAACGCGGCCGCGTCGGCGAACCTGGACGCCAAGGCATTTGCCGAGCCGCCGCGGAGAAGGAGGAGGGGGGAGGAGGAGGAGGAGGAGGAGGAGGAGGAGGAGGAGGAGGAGGAGGAGGAGGAGGAGGAGGAGGAGGAGGAGGAGGCGGAGGACGGAGGAGGAGAGAGGGGAGGAGGAAGGAGGAGGAGGAGGAGGAGGAGGAGGAGGAGGGAGGAGGAGGAGGAGGAGGAGGAGGAGAGGAGGAGGAGGAATGGGAGGAGGAGGAGGAGTACAGAAGGAGGGGAGGAGGAGCAGGAGTCGGAGTCGGGAGTAGTAGGGAGGAGGAGGAGGAGGAGGAGGAGGAGGAGGAGGGAGGAAGAAGAGGAGGAGAGGAGGAGGAGGAGGAGGTACAGGAGGAGGAGGAGGAGGAGGAGGAGGAGGAGGAGGGGGAGGAGGAGAAGGAGGAGGAGGAGGAGGAGGATGAGGAGGAGGAGGAGGATGAGGAGGCGGAGGAGGCGGAGGAATGGTTGGAGGAGGAGGAGGGGCTCTGGAGCCCGCTCCGCCTTGGCTGCGCGCTCTGCTGCCGGGAGGGGGGCCTCAGAGACTGGTCGCCGCCAGAATTGCGTGCTCGCCGAGATCATCACGTTCGAGAAGATCTACAAGGCCCTCTCATGCTGGCCGCCGACGACGCTCCCCCGCGCTGCTCGCACCCCCATGCCCTGCTCCGTCGCTTTGGGCCTCGTCCCTCCTCTCTCACTTCCTCTCTCCTCTCTTCTTCACGCCCTCCGCCCTCCCCCTCCCTCCGCCTCTGACCGCTTCCGTCCTCCTCCCTCCTCCCTTCCCTTCCCATGCCTCCCTCCCATCTGCTGCTGGGTCCTCCTCCCTCCTCGTCCCTTCGCCTCCTTCCTTTTTTCTTTTCTATGTAGTTGTTCTTGCTATTGCTCTCTCTCTCTCTCTCTATCTCTCTCTCTGTCTCCCTATGCCCCCTCTCTCTACGTTGTCTGTCCCCCTGTCTCGCTGCCTCTTGGTGCCTTGTTTCTTCTACCCGCCTGGCTCGTTATTTTTGTTGCTCCTCCGTGGCCGTCGCTCGTTCCCCACTTCCCCCACCTGCCAGTTCTTCGAGCCCTCCGACGCCGTGGACAAGATTGGAAGCAGCGACGTGCTTGTGATGTACGAGCTGGAGAATGCGGAGGAACACACCTCAGGAGGAAGAAGAGGAAACTCAGGATAAAGAGCTGGCCGATGACGGGGTTGAGTAGGCAGGGTCTGCCGAGAGTGGAGATTCTGATCATTTGAGGGATTACGATCCGAGAGGGTAATGCTGATTACGATGGCGATCGCGATGCCGATTACGGTGATTGTGATGGTAAGGATGAGGATGTTGATGGTAGTGATGCTGGTGGTGGCGATTCTGATTGTTGACGATGGTCGTGCCGGTGATGATGATTACGATGACGTTGGCGATGATGATGATGACGATGCTGATGCTGCTGCTGATGATGATATGATGATGATGAAGCTGGGGAGGCTGATTATTATGCTGATGCTGAGGATCTTGATAACGATGATGCGTATGCTGCTGCTGATGATGATGATGATGGTGGTGGTGATGATGATGATGATGATGATGATGATGATGATGGTGGTGGTGGTGGTGGTGGTGGAGGTGGAGGTGGTAGTGGTGGTTTTGGTGATGATGATGGTGATGGTGATGAGACTGCCGACTTTTGAGTTTCCGAGGCTTCGTCATGCATGAATGTATCTATTCTTGCTGCTTGGAGTGTTCAGAGGCGTTCGAACCAAGCTCATCAACACCACGAGCTCTTGGAATGGACGTTGGCTCAATGAGCGGAAGCTGGCGCGCCTCCCGTGGGCGTTCCAGCCAGAGTCCAGGGCCACTGACAAGCTGCTGGGATCTTGTTGTCCCCGAGCATTTCGCTAAGTGGATGCTCCCAGAGGAATCCCGTGATGCAGTGCCAAAGCATTGCGCGGAGGATCTTCCAGAACTGTGATTAAAGACGTGTGCGGTGTGAGCTTCGAAGCATTGCGTCGGTAAGGGTGGGGTTGCTGGGCCAGGCTCTTGCCGGCCCTGGCCATGGTCGAGATCAGCCACGCGAAGAGGGGAGTGGGGGAAGGGGGGAGGGCTTCTTAGAAGTACCCCTGCTTCTTAGAAGGCGCGGGCCTTTTCTATAGATACAGGGCCGGCGCCTCCTAAGAAGCAGACTCCTTCGAAGAAGCCCTCCCCCCTCCCTCTGCCCTCGTGCGCGCCGCCAACGAGAGACTAGTAGTCGGACGGAGCCCAGACGTGTCCGCCTGACTGGGTGCCCCCCGCAGCGCTCATTCGGTCAGGTGCCGAGCGAGCCACGGCACCTCCACAATCACGGGCGCAGTGCCCCCCTCCGTGGCGCGTCTCGCGCTCTCTCGCCCTTCCTGCCTGCCCGGGTGCGTGTGCAGGCACTGCGCAGAGTTCTCTTCGGGGACTATATCGTGCGCTTCATGAAGAGGGGGTGTCCGGCTCTCGCCCAGGACAAGACCTGGCACAGCCTATCGCTGCACAAGGTACGGCGGCTCATTGTGACACCACGTGTCATCATGTAGCACAGCGCAGCACAACGTCGCGCACACCAATGCCACAGCGCGACGCCACGGGCGAGATATCGCAGGTCATCAAACGCAAAGCAACAGGCGACACACGCCAGGCGCGGTACAACATATAGTTCAGCACACCGACTACCACACTGCGCTGCCATGTTTCGGTATGTGGCGCTGTCTCCTTCTCCGGACAGTGCTCGCACTGAAAGTGATGTTGGTTGTACCTCCATGACATTATCCGGCCAGGCGCAGATTTTGTGGGCTCGGCTCAGTCACCATAGGTGTGCCGCAGCGAGAAGTGGAGGAGCGCCTCGCGGTCACCGAATCAGCCAAGAAGGAGGCTGAGGAGGCAAGGGAAAGGAGGGAGGAGGAGGATAATGATGATGATGATGATGATGAGGAGGAGGAGGCGGAGAAGGAGAAGCGTGAACAATCCCTCCTCCGACCCAGTTCTCTGACTAAAGTTTGTTCGAGTCACCGCCCCAGGAGCTCTCGACCCCTCCCCCCAGGGCTTGTTTTCCATTCCGCGCCGTTTTTTCCTTCCTCCTGGGGGCCGAGCAACGCCCCCCAGGAGGCCGAAATACAAGAAGAACGTCCGGACTGAAAATTGACAATGCGCTGGAAGACAGGATCCTGGAAGCCTCCAGAGGCTTCCCAAGGTCCCGGGAGGCTTTCGGAGGCTCGTGGAGGCTTCCAAGAGGCCTCCGAAGACCCGCAAGGTCATCCGTCGCCCACAAGCCTCGATTCTCCTTCTCGTCTTCTTCTTCCCCCTCCTGGCTGTTACCTCCCCCCTCTCTGGCCCCTCTGGCCTCGAGGGCGTTCCAGCCAGCAGTTCGCAGGTGATTTCAGCCGCGACGACGCACCCTCCCTCCAAGGTCCCTTTGTATAGGCCCCTACGAGGGGCCATTCTCACTGTTCGAATTGCCCTGTTGGTGGGCAATCGTGTGAACAGTTTGAAGTGTGCCAAAGCACCATTCTCAGGCCTTCAGCGCCACGAGTTAACCTGGCTGTTACGTGTTGGCGATCCCGAGTCGTGCCAGAGCGCCATCCCTGGGACTTCAACGCCGAACTGTTGCGCCCTGACAATCCTGAATCATTCCGAATCAGCATGTCAGGTACCGTGCAAATTTGAAAAGGAGTGTTCGCGGCGCTACGGCGAGAGCCACATTCGGAAAATTACCTGCCCTCAATCGGTGAAGCTCTTGCAACCTGTTAGAACGGATGTGCGCGGCGCTAGGGCCACATTCTGAAAACCTCCCGCCTTCAATCCGTGAAACTCTTGCAACCTTTTATCACGAATGTATGCGGCGCTAAGGCGAGGGCCACATTTTGAAAACGACCCGCCCTCAATCCGTGAAGCTCTTGCAAACTTTTATCACGCATGTGCGCGGCGCTGAGGCGAGAACAACATTTTGAAAAACCACCCGCTGTCAACCCGTGAAACTCTTGCACACTTTTAGCACGAATGTGCGCGGCGCTGGGGCGAGAGCTACATTTTGAACACCACCCGCCCTCAATCTGTGAAGCTTTTGCAAATTATCAAAACGAATATGCGCTGCGCTAAGACGTTAGCCACATTTTGAAAACCACCCGCTGTCAATCCGTGAATCTCTTGCAAATATTCGGCGAAAATGCGCGGCGCTAAGGCGAGAGCCGCGAGAGCCACATTTTGGAAGTGACCCGCCCTCCATCTGTGAAGCTGCTGCCAATTCTTAAGCATCGGGGCCATAAGTGGTGGGGAATTTCCAGACGAAGTGGCCAGCCCGCCCTTCCGACAGGCCTCGGGGTGCGACAGGGAGGAGTTATCTATAAGGAGGAGGAGGAGGAGGAGGAGGAGGAGGAGGAGGAGGAAGCGGAGGAAGTGGAAAAGGAGGAGGAGGAGGAGGACGAGGAGACGTGACGGAGATGGGAGGAGGAGGAGGAGGAGGAGGAGGAGGAGGCGGAAGAGGAGGCGGAGGAGAACCTCCCTCATCCTCCCTTCTTCCACGTCCTACCTATGGCAGTGGTAGTGGAAGTGGAAAATGGGCCCATCAAGACCCCTCCCTGGAGTCCACCTGGGCCAGCCCTTGATCCTGGGTCGACTTCTGGCGGCTGGGGGGCCCGAAGCCGGCCACTGGAAGCAAACGTCGAGAACAAAAACACGATCGTGGTGGTTTGTTGTCCCCCCCCCTCGCGGCCCTGGCTTTTGTGCCATGGCTCGGACCTCTGGCGACCGCTCGGGACGACCACGCCACCCTGCGAACGCGTTGGGCGAGGCGCAGCTGCAGGAACGCGCTCCGAGGATGCGCAGCCTCCAAGGACCCGACGGAAACGTCCGAAGTCCAACTGAGGCGCGCACGCGCCTCAGGAGGGAGGAGGGGGAGGAGGGGGGAGGAGGGGGAAGCCTTCAAGAGCCCCAAGGCAAGCTCCAGGGCCTGTGGAGCGAGACAGCGTCGAACACGGGGACCGGTGGCTGCGGGAGCTCTCCGAAGGCGGGCGGCCAGCGCGGCGGGAGTGCGCCAGAGATGGGGCGGGGGGGCCTTCCTGCAACAGCGGCACGCAGGGGATCCTCTACGACCAGATGGCCATTTCGAAGTGAACCTCACGTGCTGACTTCGAGTGCCAGTCTGCCCCGCACCGACGACAAGACGGAACGCTGTGCACTGGCCGGCCCATCTATGTGCATTGGGCGCGGCGACCCGCGTACACTCTACCTGCCGGCCCACGCAGGCTCCCCCGCACCAGAATATAGACTGTCTCTCTGCTGCACAACCAGTCGACGACAAACGGGACTGGTATGATTTTCCGGGAGGGCCTTGACCTCGCCCCGATGGTCTCCGAGACCAGGGGGGCGGCCGCCCGACGTGGCCGTGAGCTCCGTGCGAAGCTACGGCGCCCGCCTGGAGGATGCCGAGCTGTCCGAGCTTCTCAGCCGGATCCGGCGCGACGCCTCGGAGGAGGAGGAGAAGGAGGAGGATGAGGAGGAGGGGGAGGAGTAGGAGGAGGAGGAGGAGGAGGAGGAGGAGGAGGAGGAGGAGGAGGAGGAGGAGGAGGAGGAGGAGGAGGAGGAGGAGGAGGAGGAGGAGGAGGGAGGAGGCACCCTCCAGCACGGGGCCGCGGAGATGATCCTCAGTGCCCTGTGCAGGTAAGCGCTGGCAGACCATCGCGACTATCATGACCACCGCGACGCCCGACGTCAGCGACCACCACCACGACTACCACGGGGACTACCACTGGGACCGAACCCATGACACGAGGCGCCAGCGACCACCGCCACGACGACCACGATCACCATCCACCATCACGACCACCACCAGCACGCCCACCACCAGTCCGACCACCGCCGGCACGACCACCACCGCTACGACCTTTACCACCACCACTCACCGAGCGCGTTCCACTACTCTCGAAGTGCCTACTCGACAACGTCTGGAGGAACCATGCCTCCCTCCATGCAGTGGGTCGTAGATCCCCCGCGGCGGACGCAGGCCATTTGCGAGCAGTTACTTAGCGAGTAGTGGAACGCGCTTGTCTAACCACCGCCGCCACGACCACAAGCACGACCCACCACAACCGCCTCCGCCCCCGCACCCTCCTTCCTCTCCCCTCCCCTTCCCTGGCGGGCTGCCCCTGCCGCAGCGCGCGCCTCGTGCCTGCCCCCTGCCCCCCGCCCCCTCCACGCCATCCTCCTCCTCCTCCTCCTCCTCCCTCCTCCTCCCCCTCCTCCTCCTCCTCTTTCTCTCCTCCTCCTCCTCCTCCTCCTCCTCCTCCTCCTCATCATCATCATCATCATCCCCTTTCTAGTCATTGCCGCGACGTCCACGATAGCTTGCGTCGGTAATTCGCTGATCAACTTGCTAATCAAGTGGAGAAACGCAGCCATACCAGGAATGCCACCAGTCTGAGCACTAAGAAAGGGACCTGGCTTGGCAGCACCTGGCGCGGAACCCATGACGTTTACTCCAAAGCTGGGGTCGGGACTTTCGGGTGTTCCTGGGCCGAGGGGGGAGAGGACGGGAAGCGGGGGGAGGGATTGAGGGACGAAGGGAGGGAGGAAGGGAGGGGTAGGAGGCGGAGGATGAGGAGGTGGAGGTGGAGGAGAAGGAGGAGGAGGAGGGGGAGGAGGAGGAGGAGGAGGAGGGAAGAGGGAAGAGGGAGAGCCAGCGCCTTTGCCCAGGTGGGCGTGCGCCCTCTTCACGGGGGGAGGCGGTGCCCCCCTCTTTGGCCCGCCGAGGAGTTCCACATCCCGTACGAGGAGCGCTGGGGCAGGCAAGACGACGCGCAGGCGCGCGCGCGCGTAGGATGAGAGAGGAACGAGGAACGATGAGGAATATTTGGGTGGCGCTGCTGCTGGTGATGATGATGAGGAGGAGGATGAGGAGGAGGAGGAGGAGGAGGAGGAAGAGGAGGAGGAGGAGGAGCAGAAGGAAGAGGAGGAGGAGAAACAGGACGAGGAGGAGAAGGTGTTAGATTATAGCCATCCGCCTGGGTGAACAGGATCAGTTAGCGAGCCACAACCGCAGGGCGCACGAGTGTCATCATCGTCCGTCCGCCGCTGTTTGGCTGAATTTCAATCTGCCTCCAGGGGAGAAAATGGCTCCTACTACATTTTCTTGGTAGCGGGGGCCGTGGTTCGTTCCACGGGTTTCAGTGCTCGTGGTTGACTCCTCGCAGCAGTTCCCTCCCAGCAGTGATCGCAGCGGCAGCCGCCGCGGGACCAGCGAACCTTGGCGTAGCCGACCCAGGTTCCGATGTACCATTACCCGAAGTCCGAGAGGCATGGTACAACCTGAGCGCGAATCGATCCGCGGAACTGTGCAGTTCTGGTTGCGCGAACGAAGCTGTCAGGTGTGTTCGTGTGGTACTCAAGGCCAAACACGGAGGCATGACGTGATTCTTCGGGTTCAGTGCTGCGCAGGGCACCTGGACCTATTGGCAACGATGAAGCATCCACAATTTTGCAGGTGATCTACACGTAGGATGCTCTCTAGATCTCAGTTCACAACCGCGACATGTACTGCGAGGAACAGTTCAGCAACTTGAAAGAACATGCGAGGAAGTAGTTCCAACATCAAGCGGATACTCGTTGAATCAGTCCAGTCAGCAGGAAACGCCAGTGTCCCAATCGGTCTGGACGAAAAGGGGGGCGTGCTGTTTTTGTTCGGCTTGTTGCCGCGATGCCTCGTTGTCTAAGCTGGGAGCCCTTTCAAGTGAGTCTGAGGATGTCTGTTTTGGAGACCAGCCGCTGGTCAACACGCAGTACACGTCTTTAGTGAGAGTCAGGACAGGCCTTCCTCCCAGGTGTGGCGCCAGCTGTTGGGGCAGCGACCCTGTCGGCGAGGGTGACGGTGCGGCACAGTACCGCCCACGCTTTGGTGACAATTGTTTTTGGGGGCTGCTGATCGCTCTCTTTCTTTATCCCGGCTCTCAATTCCTGCTTGCAGATGCTTGTGCTGCCAGCTGCTTCTAGCAATCCTTACTCCTCCTCCTCCTCCTCCTCCTCCTCCTCCTCCTCCTCCTCGTCATCGTCATCGTCATCGTCATCGTCATCATCATCCGCCACTTTTCCAGGGGCGCCAGGGATTTGCGGGGTGAGGGGCGAGAGGGGCAGGCACAGAGGCGGAGCACGCCGGCGAGGACGGGGCCGCGGGAGACGGGAGGCGCGACGGAGGTCTGGAGCAGACGCGCACGGCCGGGAACTTTTGCACCGCGCGTCGCGCTGGCGGCTCTGGTCCACCACGTCTCTGCGCGACACGCGACCCACTTCCCAAGCCCTCGGGCGTCGTCGCCCCGAGCTTTCCCATTCCCCCCGCCCCGCGGCGCGGAGCGACGCGCCGTCCTCTCGCAGGGCACGGCGTGCCGCCGGGGGCCGCCGCGGCGACGCGCTGAGCAGCAGTTCTCGCCGGTAGTGCCCCGCAGTTGCGGGTACGAGTGTGGGTGGCAGCGCGGGGCGGGTCGCGGGGTGGGTCGCGGGGTGGATCGCGGGGTGGGTCGCGGGGCGGGTCGCGGGGAGGGTCGGGATTGGATCGCGGGCAAGGACGGCGACATCGCAACAATAGCAGCGATCATTCCAAGACTGTTCGCTTCGAACTGCTCGCATGTCATCCAACATGTCTATTCCAGGCTCTTCGTCTTAAATTGTGCCCTCTCTGGCAGCATACCTTCCTTTTACTTGCTACTTTGGTAGTTGGCTCAACCCTTAAGACAGGGGGACGGGGGGAGGAGGAATGACAAGGGGGAGGGAAACAGATGGAGCACGAGCGAGAGTATCAGGAGAAGGTCAGGAACCGAACAGCGAGCGGCAGCCACACCAGACGAGCGGGTCGGGCGGACGGACCCATATCGGGCGGGTCGGGCGGGCGGGTCGCTGAAGCATCGGTCCTGAATGGATCGCGAGAGAGTGTCGAGCGACAGCGCGATCCCCAAGTCAGTCGCCAGGAAGTCCAGAGCGACAGCGGGATTCCTGAGTGTCGAGGCCGCGGCGTTTGAAAACATGTATATATATGTATGTATGTGTATTGGGAGGAATTCCCACGCGAGAGGCCGATTTCTGGATACATCGTGAGGAAGTCTCGCCCGAGAGTGCGATTTTGAATACGTTGCTATGGGGTAGCAGGCGGGAGCCGCTTAATTTTTATGTTCAACGAATACTTATTATTGACCCCACCACCAGTGCACATGGTGTTTTTTCAATTGAAATTCTGCCCTTCGGGGCTCGCTCAAGCTGTGTTGCAGTCCCCCGGCTACAGCAACAACGGCTCCCGCCTGATACTTCCTTACAGTCTACTGAAGAATCGCGCTCTCGCGTGGGAATTCCTCATAGTTTCTGCAGGAATCGCGCTCTCGCGTGGGATTCCCTCGCCAGGGATTCAAATGTCGCGCCCTCGACACACAGGAATCGCGCCATCGCTCGAGACGTCCTCGCGAATCATGCAGGACTCACGCTTCAGCACCCCGCCTTCTCGACCTGGCCGCCTGGGCCTGTCTCCCCGACCCGCACGCTAGGATCTGCCCGATCTGCTCGTCTGGTGCTGCCACGTGTTTTTTGCTCCTCACCCCCTCCTGCTAACCTTTCTCGTGCTCCTTCCCTCTCCTCCATTCCATCCGTCCTCTCTTCCCCTGTTTTAGGGGTTGCGCTAAATGCGCTTGGCGGGTAAGGAAGATATGCCTCCAATGGGGTACGATGGAAGACGAGCGGGGCGGGTACTGAGGGTTTCGAATTTACGTGTTGAATTGCACGCGAGAAGATAGGTGCGGACAGTCTCAACATGGTTGTGGTTGATGTGCTTACTGTTACTGTTGCTGTTGCTGTTGTTGTTTATGTCGTTGTTGTTCTAGGTGGTGGTTGTTGTTGTGATGGTTATAGTTGTTGTTGAGTTTGATGGTTATGTTGTTGTTGCTGTTGCTGTTGCTGTTGCTGTTGCCGTTGTTCTTGTTGTTGGTGTTGGCTGCTGTTGTTGTTGTTGTTGTTGGTGTTGTTGTTGTTGATGTTGATGTTACTGTTGTGGTGTGATTGTTACTGTTGTTGTTGGTGGTGGTGCTGGCTGTTGTTGTTGTTGTTGTTGTTGCTGCTGCTGCTGCTGCTGTTGGTGTGGTTGTTGTAAGTTGTGGTGGCTGTTGGTTGTTGTTGTTGCTGTTGTTGTTTTAGTAGTTGTTTTTGTTGCTGTTGCTGTTGCTGTTGCTGTTGCTGTTGTTGTTGCTGCTGTTGCTACTGATGCAGTTCTTTGTTAAAACAAACTGTTGAACAGTGCATCTAGACACTCGCCCCCCCAAAAAACAACAACCAGCAACCCCCCAGGAAGGTTGCTGGGGTTGCTGGTTGTTGGGGGTCCTGGGGATCCCTGCGGATTTGTGAGGGATCCCTGAGGGATTCCCGACCGACGGATTCGTGAGGGATTCCGTGTGGATTCCTGAAGGATTCCTGAAGGATTCCCGAAAGATTCCTGAGGATTCCTGTAGGATTCCGGAGAGTTCCTACGGAATGCCTGAGGGAATTCCTTACGGATCCCGGGTGGATTCCTGAGGATTCCTGAAGGATCCCGGAGGATTCCTAAGGGATTTCAAGGGATTCCCGCAAGGATCCCCGCGGATTTTCAGGATTTCACACGGATTCTTGTAGGATCCCTGAAGGGTTCTGGAGGAATCCGAAGGGGTTCCTGTAGGACTCCTGAAGGTTTCCTGTAGATTCCCAGGGGATCCCGCAAGGATTCCTGAGCGATCCCCAAGGGAATCCTAGAGGGATTCCTCAAAGATGCCTCGCGATACGTGAGGGAGTCCTGGGGAATTCCCGATGGATTCCTGAACATACCATACGGACTTCTTTGGTTTTACAACGGGATTCCAGAGGAATCCCTTTTTTAATGTATTCCGAAGGGATCCCGAGGATCCTTCAGGGGGTTCTGATGGATCCTTGCGGATTCCAGAAGGATCCCTAAGGGATTTAGGAATCCCGAGGGATTCCTGAGAATTCCTAGAAAGGTTTCCTGAGGGATTCCTGGAGGATTCCTCAGGGTCCCCGGAGGGATTCCTGCAGGATTCATGGTGGATTCCTGGGCGTTGCTCCTAGGGATTCCCAAGAAGGATTCCTCAGGGATTGTTGAAGGATTCCAGAAGGATTCTGGAGGATTCCTGAGGCAATCCTTCATGGGTTCCCGACGGATTCTTGGGGGACTCCTGCAGGATATCTGAAGGACATTTGGGGGAATCCTGGGGGATTCCTGGCGGCTTCCGGAGGGATTCCTGAAGGATTCCTTAGGGAGACTGTAGAATTTGTAAAGGATTCCCGGAGGATTCCCGTGGGATTCCTCAGGAGTCTTCTGGAGGCCTGAAGGAATTTTCTGGATCCCAGGGGGATTCTTAAGGATCCAACATGGATTCCTGCGGATTGGATAGGTTTTCCTGACCATTCTAGGGGGCGCCTGAGGGAATTCCGCATGCATTCCTTAAGGGTTCCGAGGGATTCCTAAGGGGCTCCTGGGGATTCCTCAGGGATTCCAGATGGATTCCTGAGGGGATCGAGGAGTCCTAAGGGATTCTTGGGGATACCGTTGGGATTCCGCAGGGAGTCCCAGGGGAGTCTTGAAGCTGATCGAGGCACCCTGACGTTGTCCTGTCGGGGGTGATGGGGGTGGTCGCGATTGTGATGACGATGCTGCTGATGATGATGGTTATGATGGTGATGCTGATGTTGCTCATGATGATGCTGCTGCTGATGATGATGTTGTTGATATTGGTGATGAAGAGGATGATGAGAGTCGGAGGAGGATTATACTGATCACCGTGATGACGGTTATGATTGTGCCGCTTGTGATTCGGCGGGTGATGGTGGTGATGATGAGGGTTCTGTCTCTGGTGGTGATGACGATGACGACGCCGACGAATACGGTCACTATGGCGTTAATCATGATGACGCTGATGATGATGGTGAGGATGTGGTAGGTTTGAGGGTGATGATGCCGATGACGGTGCGTATCATGAGGATGATAATGATGACGATGCCGACGGCGAAGGTGACGATGATGACGGCGACGATTAGGATGATGATGGTTACGATTGCGATGATGATGGTGGTGATGGTGAAGATGGTGATTGTAGTTGTGCGGATGGTGACGTCGACGATGGTCATGATGGTATTCTGGCCCTCCCTCCTGCCAGCCCTCATTCCTGTTTTCCATTCTTCCTGCCATCAGCCCCTCCTTGTGTTCAAGGGGGCACGGGAGGCCGTCACGTGTGACACCTCGTGTCTCCAGGCTTGGGGTGGGGGGGGGGGAAGACCAGGATGGCCAAACCTGATCCAACCAAACTCAGCCCCGCCCGTCCCAATCCTCCCAGTAATTAGGAGGGAGGGTGTTCCGAAAGGGGGGGCTCATTCTTCTGTGCCCGCTTTTCCTCCATCAGTCCCACCGTTCCACTGCTCCCACCTCTCTACCATTCCCACCTTCCCATCACTGCGGGACCATCGTTGTTCCGTTGTGCCGCTGTTCCGTTGTTCCTTAGTACGGCATCCTCAGTGACGGATCCTTTGTGCGGGGTTCATAGCGGGGCATCGTCAGGAACGGACCGTTATGAAAGGACTCGTGAATCCTTGGTCAGGAATTCGTCGTGAGGCACCTTGGTAAGGCATCCTCCGTACGGAACCCGCAGCAAGGAATTCATGTTAAGGTGTCCTTTGTAAGGGATCCTTAGTCGGGAAATCTTAGTCGGGAGTCCCTCGTAAGAACCCGTGGTCGGGAATATTGCGTAGGGACCCTTTTGTAAGACGTCCCCAGTCAGGAAGTCTTGATTAGAGATCATTGATACGGAATCCTTCGTAGAGAATCCTTAAGACGGATGTTTTAGTGGGGGTCCTTAGTACTGGGTCCTTAGTGCGTAACGAGTTCTTACGAAGGAGTCTTTATTAAGGAGCCCTTCGTAGTTGAATGTGTACTACGTCGCAAATCATTACGCAGGAACCCCTAGTAATAGGTAACCGTGGTTAAACATCAGTAGTGCGTCCTTAGTAAGAAACCCTCAGTAAATAATCCTTAGTCCGGAATCCTCAGTACGGAATCGTTGCTAAGGAACCTTTTTTTTGAAGAACCCTTGGGACGGAAATTGCAATAAAGCAATCCGTCGCAAGGAATCATTGTTCAGGAGTCCCACACAAAAAGGATTCCTGAACAAAGGATCCCTGATGAAAGATTCCTGACTAGGGGTTCCTTTGATTGGGATTCGTTCGTAGGGATGCCTTGGTCGGGAATCCTTAGTAGGGCATCTTCAGTGGGGAATCTTTCGTAGGGAGCCCTTCGTAGGGCAATCCTAGTGGGGCATCATGAACGTGGAATTCTTAGTAGGGAGCCCCTCGTCGGAAATCCTTCGTAAGGAATCCGAAATCTTGAGTCTTGGGTAGGGCTGTAGGAACCCCGATGGAGTTGCATCCAGCTCTGCAGGGATTGCGTGGGGACCCGGGCAGGTCGCGCGCCTCGCCGCCGTGCACGTGCTTCATCGGGCGCACGACCATGGGGCCGTGTAAGCAAGCTCCATAGCATTGGTAGGTTTCAGCCTAAGCTTTTGGGGCCAGTTCGGTTGCTGGGTTGCTGGTTGCAGGGGGAGGGGGGGGGGCAACACCCGGGGCTCTAGGCCAATGGTCGTCCCTGAAAGACCACCATTGGCTTCAGGACCCGTGCAACGGGTCTACAGGTACAGTGCCGTCCTTGTTGTTGTTGTTGTTGTTGTTGGTGTTGGTGTTGTTGTTGTTGTTGTGGTTGTAATTGTTGTTGTTGTTGTTGTTTAGAGTAGTGTTTCTTGTTTTGTTATTGTTGTTTGGATTGGCAGTAGCAGTAGCAGTAGCAGTAGCAGTAGTAGTAGTAGTAGTAGTAGTAGTAGTAGTAGTAGTAGTAGTAGTAGTAGTAGTAGTAGTAGTAGTAGTGGTAGCAGTAGTGGTAGTATGTATTATCATTCGTAGTAGTAGTAGTAGTAGTAGTAGTAGTAGTAGTAGTAGTAGTAGTAGTAGTAGTAGTAGTAGTAGTAGTAGTAGTAGTAGTGGTAGTAGTGGTAGTAGTAGTCGTCGTAGTAGAACTCACAGTCGTAGTAGTAGTAGTAGTAGTAGTAGTAGTCGTAGTCGTAGTCGTAGTAGTTTAGTCGTAGTAGTAGTAGTCGTAGTAGTAGTGTAGTAGTAGTATAGTAGTAGTAGTAGTAGTAGTGTAGTAGTAGTAGTTAGTAGTAGTAGTAGTAGTAGTAGTAGTAGTAGTAGTAGTAGTAGTAGTAGTAGTAGTAGTAGTAGTAGTAGTAGTAGTAGTAGTAGTATAGTAGTAGTAGTAGTAGTAGTAAGTAGTTTAGTAGTTAGTAGTAGTAGTAGTAGTAGTAGTAGTAGTTTTTCAGTAGTAGTAAGTACTGGAGTTACTAGTAGTAGTAGTTAAGGTAGTAGTGGCAGTAATAGTAGTAGTAGTTAGTAGCAGTAGTAGTACCAGCAGCAGCAGTAGCAGTAGCAGTAGTAGTAGTAGTAGTAGTAGTAGTAGTAGTAGTAGTAGTAGCAGTAGTAGCGGTAGTAGTAGTAGTAGTAGTAGTAGTAGTAGTAGTAGTAGTAGTAGTAGTAGTAGTAGTAGTAGTAGTAGTAGTAGTAGTGGTAGCAGTAGTAGTAGTATGAATATTATCATTCGTGGTAGTAGTAGTAGTAGTGGTAGTAGTGGTAGTAGTAGTCGTCGTAGTAGAACTCACAGCCGTCGTAGTAGTAGTCGTAGTAGTAGTACTAGTAGTAGTAGTAGTAGTAGTAGTAGTAGTAGTAGTAGTAGTAGTCGTAGTCGTAGTCGTAGTAGTAGTAGTAGTAGTAGTAGTAGTAGTAGTAGTAGTAGTGTTACTAGTCGTAGTAGGAGTAGTAGTAGATAGTATAGTAGTAGTAGTAGTCGTCAGTAGTCGTAGTAAGTAGTAGTATTAGAATACTAGTAGTTAAGTAGTAGTAGTAGTAGTAGTAGTAGTAGTACTAGTAGTAGTAGTAGTAGTCGTAGTAGTAGTAGTAGTAGTAGTAGTAGTAGTAGTAGTACTAGTAGTAGTAGTAGTAGTAGTGGTAGTAGTAGTAGTAGTAGTAGTAGTAGTAGTAGTAGTAGTAGTAGTCGTAGTAGTAGTAGTAGTAGTAATAGTAGTAGTAGTAGTAGTAGTAGTAGTAGTAGTAGTAGTTAGTAGTAGTAGTAGTAGTAGTAGCAGTGTAATCGTAATAGTAGTAGTGTAGCAGTAGTAGTAGTAGTAGTGGTAGTAGTAGTAGTGGTAGTAGTAGTAGTAGTAGTACTAGTAGTAGTATAAGTAGTAGTAGTAGTAGTATTAGTAGTAGTTAGTAGTAGTAGTAGTAGTAGTAGTAGTAGTAGTAGTAGTAGTAGTAGTAATAGTAGTAGTAGTAGTAGTAGTAGTAGTAGTAGTAGTAGTAGTAGTCGTAGTAATAGTCGCAGTAGTAGTAGTAGTAGTAGTAGTAGTAGTAGTGACGTAGTAGTAGTAGTAGTAGTAGTTGTTGTTGTTGTTGGTGTTGCTGTGTTGATTGTTGCTGTTGGTGGTGTTATTGTTGTTGCGTTGGTTGTTGTTTTGTTGCTGCTGCTGTTGTTGTTGCTGCTTCCGTTGGTTGTTGTTTTGTTGCTGCTGCTGTTGTTGTTGCTGCTTCCAAATCATCCTGTGGTGTTGGGTCCTCGTATTGAAGAGACAGCGCCCCGCGTCTCACCTCCTCCCGCTGCCCCCTCCCTCCTCCCCCTCCACCATGTCGGCACACCCCTCACGAGGATCGTGGCCCCATAGGGAACTCCACCGAAGGTCCCAGCGGCAGGGTTTTGCATGCGTCCTCCCGGCCATGTCGGCACAACCCTCATTCAGGTTCATACTGTTCAAGGGCGTGCCTATCGATAGGTCCGTTTTGAGCAGTGGCCGCCCTCCATCCGTGTAGGTGTTGCATGATCTGAAAGTTGCGCCATACAGTTATAGAGGACTTCAAGCGATAGCCACATTTAACTATCTGGCCGCCCTCCATCCGTGTAACAGTTGCACGATGTCAGAACGAATGTGCGTGCCGCTACGGGGAGGGCCCCATTTTGAAAACGACTCCGAACCATCCTTATAGTTGCAGGATGTTTTCAAGACGAGTGTGCGTGGCGCCAGGGCGTGTAACTGTTGGATGCTTTTGGGACGAGTGTGCACGGGGCCAAGGCGAGGCCCCCTATCATTTTGAAGACGGCTTTGTTTCCATCCCTCAGACGAGTGTGCGCACCGCCACGTCGAGAGTCCCATTTTGACGACGACCTGTGCTCCATTCGCGAAGCCGCTGGGGATCTCAAGCTTCGGGATCATACGCTGCGAAGAATCTCACGTGAAACGCCTGGCCCGCCCTAGCTACACGCCTGATGGTACGGCAGGGAAGATTATGTGTGCGGGCATGAAATACAGGAGAAGGAGGATCGAGGGAGCGAAGGAGCGACGGATGGAGGGAGCGAGCGAGGGAGGGAGGGAGGGAGGGAGCGACCGAGGGAAGGTGAGCGAGGGAGGAGGAGGAGGCGGGTGAGGATGAGGATGAGGAGGAGGATGAGGAGGAGGAGGAGGAGGAGGAGGAGGAGGAGGAGGAGGAGGAGCAGCAGAGCTACCACTCAACGACATGGGCTCCTCGGTTTCGGGCTGCTCGCGCGCGGGCTGCTCAGGCTGACGGGGCCAGCCAGGACGGCGAGAAGTGCAGCGTGGTGATCCCAGGCGGCTGGCGCGCCACCACTCCGCCGGGTCCCCTCGCGGAGGACAAACAGGGACGCGTGAGGACGGGATTCCTGGAGTGCTTTCGATTTCGAGGTGCATGCAGTCGCGGCGACGACCCCTTCCTCCCCTCCCGAGGCCCATCCTCGAAGAGGAAGGAGAGGGAGGAGGAGGAGGAGGAGGAGGAGGAGGAGGAGGAGGAGGAGGAGGAGGAGGAGGAGGAAGACGAGGAGGAGGAGGAGGAAAGAGGAGAAGGGCAAGGAGGAGGATGAGAAGGATGATGAGGAGGAGGATGGGAAGGAATGATGCTCCTCAAGAAGAAAAATGAGATGACGAGGAAGATGATGACGCTGATGATGCTGGTGCTGATGATGATGATGCTGATGATACTGACGATGATGCTGATGATGAGTGGCGATGGTGATGCTGATGCTGCTGTTGCTGATGCTGATGCTGATGCTGATGATGATGATGATGCTGCTGCTGCTGATGCTGATGCTGATGCTGATGATGATGATGATGATGATGATGATGATGATGATGATATCGATGATGGCGCCGACGATGATGATTATGATGATGCTGGTGATGATGAGGAGGATGAGGATGAGGATGAGTGGGGGAAGATGAAGATGAGGATGCGGATTTTGATGTTGATGCTGATGCTGATGCTGATGCTGCTGCTGCTGATGCTGCTCATGATGAGGCTGATGATGATGCTGCTGCTGCTGATGATGATGATGATGATGATGATGATGCTGATGATGATGATGCTGATGATGATGATGATGATGATGATGATGATGATGATGATGATGATGATGATGATGATGATGATGATGATGCTGATGGTACGGAGAAGGGTGAGGAGGAGGAGGAGGACACGGAGGAGGAGGAGAAGGAGGAGGAGCAGGACGAAGACGAGGAGTAGGACCAGAGTAAATTCTGGATGCATCGACGATGTTGCAGTGCGTGTTTCCGTCCCAAGCCCTCTTCCCTCCTTATTCGACGGGGAGCCCATCTTCGAAACATACTTACATTGTATTCTTCTGGCGGGTACGAGGACTGTGGCAACATGCCTGATCCTAGTGTGCATCAAGGAGTCCAGAGAGAAAGCTGCGTTTCGAGGAGGACCCCGCGGATGCACAATTCTAGCACACGTTGATTCATCTGGCCATCCAAGGTGTGGAAATATCACGGGGTCCCCCACCTTGAAATGGAGCAGCCCTCCGTCCGGCTAGCTGTCAGCTCAGGGCGTCACAAGCCAGAGCTCCATTTTGAGAAGGAACCGTCCTCTGTCCTTGTAACAGGCGTGTGCTCTTACGACGACTGTGCGCGGCGCGAAGGCGAGGGCCCCATTTTGACAAGGTGCCGCCCTCCACGTCGCTCCATCCATCCATCCATGTGGCGGTAACGAATGCCCGCGGCGCTGAGGCGAGAGCCTGTTTTCGAGAGGTCACCGCCCTCCGTCCCCGTAGCGGCTGCAGCCTTCTTGGGCTGACGTGCAGAGGGCTGGGTCGAGATCCTCATGTCGAAAAAGGTTCCACCTTCCATGCGGGTGCTCCATTTTGAGCTTGAGTGGCCCTCCAGTTTCTAACTGTTCGATGTTTTAAGCTTCAGGGTCCAAGGACATGTCGTGCGGAACCCTTGGTGCGTCCTACCAACACGCCTGGTGGTGCGACAGGGGGCAGGTACCAATGCGGATAAGGGGCGGTGGAGGAGGAGGAGGGGGAGGAGAAGGAACTGGATGAGCTGGGAGAGGAGGGAGGTGGAGGAGGACCAGCGTAAACCCAAGCCGCATCAACGATGTTGCAATACACCCTTCCTCCAAGTTCCTTCTTTATAGGTATAAGAATTTACTTCATTGCGGGAAGTGGCCCGCAAGAAGGCACCCGTGTGAGAAACCTCAATCGCGCTAAAACACCATTCTTGGGCCTGCAACGCCTCAGATCAACATGCTTATTGCGGTCTGACAGTCCCAAACCGTGCCAGAACACCATGTCTTGACTTTCGGCTACGAACCCTTGAAACGGTTGCAAACTTGTAAGACAAATGTGGGCGGAGCTCAAGACAGACGCTCAGTGTGAGCAGGAACCGCCACCCATCCTTAGACCAATGTGTGCGGCGCTATAGCGAGAGCCACCTCAACTGTTGCAAACTTCTATAAGTATTCGCGTGCCGCTAAGGCGAGGGTCACATTTTGAAATTGGACCGCCCTCCATATGTGAAGCTGTTGCGCACTTGTAATCTTCAAGGTCAGACTGCCGAGGAAGTCTTCGGCGAACGGCTTGGCACGCCGTACCGAGGCGTCTGGGGTGCGACAGGGAGGAACTTTTTAATCGTTTCGCTCAATCCGCTTGCCCGTTTCGCATCACTGTTGGTTGGTGATGCTGCAAGATGGTTCAAGAGAATTGCAGCAGATGTTCGAGACGCGCTCTGACAGTTTAAAGTATTTGCGGAAGGTCTTCAAGAGGCTTGACGGAGTGCAGGGTCGTCCAAGCAGAAAAGTCTCAGGCCCATCTAGGGGTCTTGGGCTGTCTTGGGGCGATCTTGGTGGCCTCTTGGGCCGTCCAGGGCGGTCAGCAGCCCGAGAAGGCGGTACCGCCGAAATCGTCCGAAAACCATCGCGAAATCAATGATTTCAGTACCTCTGGGGTGTCTCGAAGTCCTCGTGGAACCTTCCTGGGGCGTCTTGGGCGCTCCTCGGGTCGTCTTATGACCAACTTGGGCCATCTTGGAATGTTTTACGACCTGAGGCCATGGGACCTGCCACCCACTTGGCGCCTCATTTGGGCGTTCTTGAAGATCATACTGGCGAGGAAGTCTTAGGCGAAACGCCTGGCACGCCGTGCCGATACGTCTGGGGTGCGACAGGAAGGAATTGTTTTTCCCCAACCAGTGCTTGCACTGAGGGGTTCGTATGTCGTCTAAGAGGAACTGGTCCTGGGCGTTGGTCCGGCTGGTTTGTTCTCGCCGTCGCCGCACGTCGCCGCCGTCCGTCGCCGCTGCTTCTTCCCCGTCCGTCCTCGCCGCCGCCGTCCGTCCGTCCGTCCTCGCCGTCGCCGTCCGCCGTCCGTCCGTCGCCGCCGTCCGTCGCGGTCGCAGCGCTTGTTGTCGCCGCCGTCCGTCGCCGCTCCATGGCGCCTGGGTGTCGGTGCCGCGCTTGTCGTCGCCGTTGCCGCCCGTCGCCGCCGCTCCGTTGTACCCCCGTCCCGTTGCACTGCAATCGGTTGCAATGCAATCGATTGCAATACACCTTAGGCGATGCTTAAGAAAACTCAAGTTTTCGGCCAGAGTCTCGATTATTCTTAATGTTTCAATGTGCATCCTAAGATTTGAATAGACATTCTGGGTTTTTCTCCAAATTCTGAGACTATGAGTTTCTTAACCCATGATTTCTTAAGCATTTCGCAGGGTGTACAATAGATTGTAATCGCTTGCGCCACCTAGATTGTACCACACAGCTTGCACCACGTGTACTGCAGCACATCTTTTACACATCATAGCTTGCACTACATCAATTGCTTAACATCGGTGGCGCCACATATATTGCACCACAAAGCTTGTAGCACACAACTCGTACCACATAGATGAGTACGTTACTTTAGCTCCTACCCCATCTATTGCACCACGCAGCTCGCACCACACCACATAAAGTGCACCACAGAGCTTACATCACACCTTTTGCACCACATAGAGTGCAAAATAACCCTTGTTTGGTGTCCACGCTAGCTAAAGTGAAAGAAGAAGGGACAGGAGAAGGGATGGAGGAGGGGAATGGGAAGGGAGGAGGAGGAGGAAGGAGGGATGAGGCTGGAGGTTCGAGGGAGCTGGAGGAGGGAGGAGGGAAGCGGGAGGAAGGAAGAGGGAGGACGAGGAGGAGGAGGAGGAGAAGGAGGGAGGAGGAGGAGGAGGAGAAGGAGGGAGGAGGAGGACCAGTGCACACCCAAGACGCATGCCCTTCCTTTATGCGCCGTCTACACATGCCCCTGCAAGCATTTTTTTCATTGCGGGACGTGCCCCGTTGGAAGGCAACCGTTTGAGAATCCTCAGCCGTGCCAAAGCACAATTCCTGTGATTTCAGCACCGCGAACCAACCTGACCGTTGCGTTTTGACATTCCCAAGTCGTGCCAGAACACCAGGTTTGGGGCGTCCGCACGGCGAAACAAATTGGCTGTTGCGTCCTGGCAATCTTCAGTCATGCCAGAAAACCAGTTTTGGGACTTCCTCCGCAACTGTTGCGCAGTTTGAAGACGACCGTGCGCGGCGCGGAAGCGATAGCCACATTTTGAACAAGGAGCCGCCCTCCATCCGTGAAGCCGTTGCAAGTTTTTCGGAGAACTGTGCGTAGCGCTAAGGCGAGAGCCACATTTTGAAAACGACCCTCCATCCGTGAAGCTATTGCAAAATTTGAAGACGACTGTGCGCGGCGATCAGGCGAGAGCCACATTTTGAAAACGACCCGCCCTCCATCCGTGAAGCTGCTGCACACTTTTAACACGAATGTGCACGGCGCGAAGGCGACATCCGCATTTTGAAAACGACCCGCCCTCCATCCGTGAAGCTGTGACTATGCCGAGCTTCAGGATCATAGATGGGCTGGAAGTCTCAGGCGAATCGCCTTGTCCGCCTTACCGACACGTCTAGGGATGCCGACAAGGCGACAACGCCAAACATTTTGACACACATTTAAGGATAGTTGCTGATTTTGGCCTCTTGTGGTCCTCGTGGGAGGCCTCTCGGAGGCCTCTTGGGGCGTCTCGGAGGCCTCTGGGGCCGTCTAGAAACCATATTGGGCATCTTTGGGCGAGCGTTCGGCATCGCGGGGTCTTCATGGACCGTCATGGGGGCCTCTTTGGGTTCTCTCGGTCCGTCTTGGGGCCCCCGTGGGTCCCAAAAGTCATGCGATAAGATGCTACGGAACGCAGGGGGGCCGCGCCAAACCCAAGAAGATGTGAGAATGTGGGGTCGAATTTTTCTAAAATCCTTAGGGTCGAGGACAGAGGCTCAGGCGATTGGGCAATGGAGCTGTTCGGATGCAACTCCTGGGAGGTTAAATTCTGATTTTGCCCTGGTCCGAAATCCGGTTTAATCCCGCTTAATCCGGTTTAATCCCGCTTAATCCCGTTTGATCCCGCTTAATCCGGCTTAACCCCGCTTAATCCGAGGCCCACTTGGGCGTAACAGCTCCCAAGTGGGGCTGAATCCTCCTTCATCTCTCAAACGAGAACCTCCCAGCAGTTGCCTCCTGAGAGCTGAGGACACGCCCACTCCGTGCCCGGCGGCACGCTGGCGGATAAGGAGAAAGGCATGGAGGAGCAGGAGCGGCAGCGGAACCAGGATCAGCAGCACGGGGAGGGGGCCCGCCCACAGCAGGGGCAGCTGCGCCTCCCAGAGACATTGACCCCCCCCCCTCGAGGGGGAGCGCGGGTATACCAGCGGCAGATGAAGGCTTCGCAGAGCTCCTGGAGCTCCTCGTCCTCCCCGGTGTTCGTGGGCATCCCTCTGGCGCGCCCGTGCCGCAGGGGGGCCGCGCCGAGACGGCGCGGCCCCCACGACGGAAGGGAGTGGAGGGGAGGGAGGAGGGAGGGAGGGAGGGGGGGGCAAGAAAAGGTGGATGGGCGACAATTTTGTACCAGTGAGCGGTAGGAATCTGCGGGGGTGACGGGGGGCATGAGGAACAAACTGAATCATCGCTCTGTAGACGCTAGAATGGGTTGCTGGTTTGAATGGGAAGGTGTTTTCGTCAGTGTATTCGGCGTGGTTCGGCGGGCGTTCGCCGAGACGGGGGCCCACATGAGGCAGAGTGGACGGTCTTGTTTTTGACATTTGATCAGTTAGTTCGCGGTCTGGGGGTTGTTTTGCATGGCGACCGCCACCAGTAAACTTGCCGTCGAACTTCTCCAGAGCGTACCTAAGAAGAGAAGGTTAGCCACGCAACCACTGGATAGGCTTCTGGGCGGGCACGGCGACGACGCGCGCGACGAGCAGTGGGACGGCGCGGCAGGACGCATTTTCTTCATCACGGATTGTAGGCCTTTGGCTGGCGTGATCTATGGAATCATCGCGCTGGCAGCACCCTCCCTCGGGACCCGTCTTCGCCTGAATGACACGAAGCTTGTTCAACACAATGGGATTTTGATGGCACGGTCTGTTGGCACAAACGTGACTGGACAGTCAAAGCAGACTACTTGGTAACCCTGGTAAGGGCTGAGCTAGCAAAACACGCGCGCCAAGGATCGCACAATGACGCGCGCAAGCCAACCTGCATCGCGAGGGCCCCTGGCCCGAAGGAGCCACGCGGGCTTTCGCTGACAACGATCGCAGCCCGGGAAGTGAAAAGCCCCCTCCCGCCCCCTTTCCCCCCCCCTCCCACCGAAACCACCCACCTTGGAGTTGCCCGGCTGAGCTCGGGGAACGATCGGGCCCAGGACGCCCACCCAGGCTACCCCCCAGGAGGCGGCCAGGACCCGTCCCAGGGCGGCCTCCGAGTCACGCTCCGGGGTGCTCCCCGGGCCATGCTCCAGGACGCTCTTCCCAAGACGCCGTCCAGGCCACGGGATAGATGCCAGAGGGCGCCCTCCAAGACCCCCCCCGGGCACCGCCCAGGACTCCGTCCAGGACACCTGCCCAGGACTCCTCCAGGACACATCCATCGAGACTTCCCGACACATCCTGGACACGTCCATCGACACTGCCATCGGGGGTCGGGCGGGAGGCCGCCACGGGGCGCTGCCGGGGCAGGGCTCGGCCCGCGCGGCCTCCGTGGGTGCAGCGGGGCCCCCGGGGCTCGAGGTGGGGGGCCGGGGGGCGGACGGTCGGGGGGGGGGGGGGGCCGGGGCAGGGGGCGGCGGTGGGGCACGGTCGGGCAGGGTCACTGCGACTGCACGTGCCCATCGGTCGTTGGGAGCAGGCATTCCTGGATTCCCAGATCCCTAATCTGCTTCGGGCGCCTTCCTCTACTTCAGTGATCGAGCGGCCTCAGCTTTCATGGCGCCCTCCTGCTTTCGACGCCCTCC